AGCGGTTTGAAACCATTGCACAACAAACGAAGGAGCAACTGACTCCTCGCGCCGCCGCCCCCCCGCCCCCCCATTGCTGTGATGCAAAAATCCCTTCCTGGGAAAAGACAGCCGGGGGACTAGGGAGGTTGTATTAAGCAGCCATGCCGGGTGAAGAGGGAGGTAGAATTCGCATGGCTCCGTCGGCTGCGGGAGATGACCTTGCAAAGCCACTTACACCTAGGGTTGCTAGGTCTTTGGGAAATACCTGGAGATTTCAGGGGTGGGGTCAGGGAGGGATTTCAGTTGGGTACAATACCATTAAAAACAAAGTCGGGAGTCCAGCGGCACCTTTAAGACCAACAAAGTTTAATTCTGGGTATCAGCTTTTGTGTCTGAAGAAGCTAGGATACACTCGAAACCGGATACCCAGAATTAAACATTGTTGGTCTTAAAGGTGCCGCTGGGCTCGAATTTTGTTCTGTTGCTTCAAACCAACACAGCTACCCCCCCTGAATCTATAATGCTATTAAGTCCACCCTTCAAAGCAGCTCGTTTCCTCCAGGGAAGCTGATTTTGGTCATCTGGAGATCAATTGTAATAGCAGGAGATAGCCAGGTGCTACCTGGATGTTGGCAACCCCGTTTCCACTCCTTCATCTGGCAATCTGCTCGCACATGTTTTTATGTAGGACTGGAAGCGGATCCACCTGTTGATTTTCAATGCTGGCCGTAATGCAAAGGGCAGAAATCAAAAGGCCATGCAATACTTTTAATTAGGGGAAATGAACAAAGGGGGGTGGGATTTCAACCCAGAACAAGCCAGGTAACCAGAAAGGTTGAAAAAAAAGAAGAAAATCTTACAGATCGATTGATCACTGTCATTTTTTTAAAGCTAAAACTGTATTCCAAAAACCTAAACTATGAATGTTAAAAGCTGTGCCTCAAAATACATAATTTTTAGTTAACGTATATAGGTACCTGTACATATAACCGACTGTGCGACTGAACAACATATAACCAATTATTGATGTATTTTGAGGCACAGTTTTTAATATTTACAATTTGAGTAAAATACCTTTAATTACGAGCTGCGGTGGCTCAAGTGGTTAAGACGCTGAACTGCAGGCTGTGGAAGGTCGGTAGTTCAGCAGTTCGAGACCCGGGTGCCGTATAACGGACTGAGATCCCATCTCTAGTTCCAGCTCCAGCCAACTTAGCAGTTCGAAAGCAAGACATTGCAAGTAGATAAATAGATACTACTTCAGTGGGAAGGTAACAGCGTTCCGTGCACTTTGGTGTTTAGTCATGCCAGCCACATGACCACGGAAACGTCTTCGGACAGCGCTGGCTCTTCGGCTTTGAAATGGAGATGAGCACCGCAACCCTAGAGTCGGATTCGACTGGCTTTCGAGCAAGGGAACCTTTACCTTTAGTTACCTTTAATTAGGGTTAACAGTGCCCACTTTCGAGCTCAGAACTCTGCAGATATTACAAAATTTGTCGTCGTCCCTCCCAGTTAGACAATTACAGACAGAAAAAGCAGTGCTTTCAGGGCAAGATATGAAAATCTGGTCTTGCCAATATTTGCAATAAGGTCAATGTTCTGTAATATCGCGCACTACAGAAATTAATAAATTGTGAATTGAAAAATATTTGGTGTCAAACGTTCCCAGGCTTGCTTCTTTCGCTGTATAAAGAGTTCAGCGCCTCCCTTGGTTCGTTCCTACAACTCCCATGATGCATCACGGCAATCGGATAAGTGCGATTGGCCAGCGCCTTCCATTCTTTTGTGTTGATTGGCTGAGCGCAATACGTTACACCTCGCCATCCAATCCCAACGCGGGCACTCCCACTTGGCTTCACCCAAAGAGAAGGGAAGGCGACTATTCTTTCCCCTTCTCCAAAATGCGCAAGAACTTTGACGTTGAGACTTGATCATAAACCGCCTCAGGAACCTTCAGAAACATACCAAGTGGTCGAAGCCAACATGCCCTCTCTTCTCCCCCCCCACACATAAAAATTGTACCTTCCCATCGTCTCGTCCGGGGCGGAGCCACTTGAGGCTTCAGTACTTAAAAACTTGAGGGCACTTCCGGTCTCTACAAAGCCAACGGAGCTTTTACCATAGACGTGCCAAGGTGCAGAATGGCCCTTCTCCAGGCCCTCAGTGACACCATAAATAGAAATCACTACATTAAAACAGATTCTGAGTGGGTTTTGCTGGGGGGGGGGGGGGGAGAATCCAGACCAAACACAATTCTTTAACTCCCCCCTTTACCGGAAGTTCATGCCGAGCACCACCCCATGGCGAACTTCTCCGTCTAAATGACCATAGAGTAAAAGCCTAGAGTTGTACACCGCGGCAAGGCGGTGTCGACCGTTCGAAACCGGAAGTTCCTTTCCCGAGGCAGCCACGGAGATGCCGAGGCCTAGAGCGGCCGCACCCGAACCTATATAACCCCCCAGGGCCCAGGCGCCCCTTTTTCTCCCTTCACAGGAAGTGCGGCCCGCGCGCCGCTCTGGCCGCCTCTCTCTCCATGGCGCTGCGTTCCCAGTCGCCGGCGCAGGCGACGGGCTTCCGCTTCCCGTCGCGATGGCGCGGCCCGGGGCAGCGCGGCGCCTGTAGCTGCTCGGCCCGCCTCCCCTTCTCCTTCCCCCCGTCTCTTATGGCGGCCCC